GTCTGACAGGTGCATCACTCGGTCTTCTATGCACATGACCAAACCACCGTAGGCGTGACTCCCGCATCTTATCTTCAATAGGTGCTACTATCACCCTTTGTCTAATTGTCTCATTCCTCACGCGGTCCTTTCTAGTATGCCCACACATCCAACGCAGCATGCGCATCTCTGCCACACTCATCTTTTGAATGTGACATTGTTTCACCGCCCAACACTCCGTGCCATACAATAATGCCGGCCTAATTGCTGTCTTATAAAATTTACCCTTCAGTCTAGTCGGCATACCTCGATCGCATAGAAATCCTGATGCACTCTTCCACTTCATCCACCCTGTTCTGATTCTATGGGATACATCTCCATCTAACTCACCGTCCTTCTGAATTATGGAGCCCAAATAACGGAACATATCGCTGACTGGTATCTCCTTACCATCTAAAGTAATTCCGCTATTACCACTGCTTCTACCTCCACCAAACTTGCACTCCATGTACTCTGTCTTGCTCCTACTTAGTCTGAAACCCTTGTTCTCCAATGTCTGTCGCCATACTTCCAACTTTGCTTTAATCCCTGATTGCGTCTCATCAATCAATACAATATCGTCGGCAAACATCATGCACCACGGTATATCGTCTTGAATTGACTTTGTAAGTTCATCCATGACTATGGCAAATAAAAAAGGGCTAAGAGCCGATCCTTGGTGCACTCCGATAGTAATAGGGAACTCCGCAGTCCTCCCTACACTAGTACGGACACTTGTAGTACAATCCTCATACATATCCATGATGATGCTGATATACTTGCGTGAAATGCCTTTTCTAGTTAAGGCCCACCAAAGAACTTCTCGAGGTACCCTATCATATGCCTTTTCTAGGTCAATGAACACTAAATGCAAATCCTTGTGAGCGTCTCTATACTTCTCCATAAGTTGCCGAAGAAGGTGAATAGCCTCAGTTGTTGAGCGACCAGGCATAAAACCAAATTGATTCTCTGAGATCTTCACCGTTCTTCGAAGTCTTTGCTCAATCAATCGCTCCCAAAGTTTCATGGTATGACTCATAAGTTTAATCCCCCGATAGTTGGCACATTCTTGTACATCACCTTTATTCTTAAATAAGGGAATAAGAGTACTCTTTCTCCAACTCGTTGGCATCTTGTTGTTTCTCCAAATTTTGTTGAAGAAATTTGTTAACCACTCAATGCCTCTCTCTCCCAAACTTCTCCAAGCCTCGATCGGTATGCCATCTGGACCCACTGCTTTCTTCCGCCCCATCTTCCTCAAAGCCTCTTTAACTTCCGTTGGTTGGATCCTTCTCACAAAATCACGATTTACCATACAATCTGGTATGGTCAAATCATCGATATCTTGCACTTTGTTCTCGTTGAACAATGTATCAAAGTATGATCTCCACCTCTCTTTTATCTCTCCGTCCTCCATTAATATCCTTTGATCAACATCCTTCACACACTTAACTTTTCCGATATCTTGAGTCCTGCGATCACGAAGACGAGCAAGTCTATAGATCTGTTGTTCTCCTTCCTTAGAGTCCAATTTTTCATACAACTCCTTGTTCACTTTCCCTTGTGCTTCTTTTACGGCTTTCTTTGCTTGTCTTCTAGCCTCCTTGTAAGCTTCTATGTTCTCATCACTCCGACTTATTCCCAACTTTTTGTAGCGAATAAGTCGGAGTGATGAGAACATAGAAGCTTACAAGGAGGCTAGAAGACAAGCAAAGAAAGCCGTAAAAGAAGCACAAGGGAAAGTGAACAAGGAGTTGTATGAAAAATTGGACTCTAAGGAAGGAGAACAACAGATCTATAGACTTGCTCGTCTATAAATATTTATATTTTGGATTCATTTCACGTGATCTAAAAACTGTGTAATTAGTGTGTCTTGTATTTAATATTGTTTGATATATATTTTACAAAATTGAGTACTTGTTATCTAATAAAGATAATTACACATTACAAAACTAGGAATTCTTATATAATAAGTATCCTAAATCTTAAACAACGAGTTATGTAAATTATATTAGATGTTCTTTCTTTTAAATATCCAATTATGTATTACATTATGTAAGACTATATATTAATTTTGAAAATTAAAAGCTAAGGGGGCGAATCTAATTAGATTATGAAAGTTTTATGAAAATATTATATATATGGTAGAAATTTTTCAAAGTCCAAGGGGGGCGGTCGCCCCCCCGCCCCCCCCCCCTAAATCCATCCCTGAGGCCAGGGATCCATTCTTCATACTCGTTGTATTGGCCCTGTAGGTTCTGTGAATTCGGCGTTGAGCTTCGACCCATTAATTATTGTACTACGTACTATGTTGATTGTTCAAAATGAAAAGGTGAAATATGTAGAAGAATGTGAGAGCGACCACAAAATCTTGATAAGTTTATACTCGAGTAAAGGGTCAGTTTAGTACTCGAAGTTGTATAAAAAGGGTCAAATAAGTCTTTACTGTCCGGCCGTCGCCATTTGGGACGGTTCCCGGGAGAATTTTTTGATGAAATTTTTTGAACATCTTATTCATTAACTCTAGTTTACTCGTACCAAATTTCAGCTAAAACTTCAATCGGGAAAACATTCAAATGAATTCTTGAAGATAACTGTGTTTTTAACTGCGGAGTTATCTTCAAGAATTCTTTTGAATGTCTTCTCGATTGAAGTTTTACATGAAATTTGGTATGAGTAAACTAGACTTAATGAATAAGATGCTCAAAAATTTTCGTCAAAAAATTCCACTGGGGACCGCCCCAAATGGAGACAACCAGGCAGAGCCTCCTATATAAGGACTTATTTGACCTTTTTTATGCAACTTTGAGTACCAAACTGACCCTTTACTCGTTTATACTCTCTCCGTCCCGTAAATCAACTTCTCAGACCCAAAATCACTTACCTTTAGCATTTTTCAAAAACAAAACACGACGACTAAAATTGTCGAAGTCACTAAAGTCGAGAGATCAAAAGTGGAAAACTTTCTAAGAAATATTACAAGAAAAAATAGTTATGAATATGAAATGCAATAATACTTTTATTTAATTTATGATTTTTTTGTGTGGTAAATTTATGAATTGATAAAAACAAAAGTATAAGTAAATTCAGTTGTAATTGAAGTTAAATAAAAAAAGTAAAATCATATCCCAGTTCAACTTTTAGTTTTTTGATGGAAAGAGTGAGAAGAATATAATTGAAGAAAGAAAAAAGAGAAATAAAAAATAAAGAAATTAAAAGAAAATGAAAGAAATGATTGGTCGACAGTGCATCGAAGAAGAAAGAGCAAGTGTAAATTTTAACGTAAAACAATGAGGCCGTTTGGAACCACTGTTTTTTGGCTTATCAGGCTAATCAATAAACTTTTTTACCAAATACGTAAATTTCGCTTTCGTGTCTGAATTGTGTAATAAGCAGAAAAAGTAAGGTTGAAGTTACTTTTCTGGCTGTATTGGCTGAAGTTACTGTAGATGACCATTTTAGCTATTTTTACATATAATTTTGTCTTTATTTTATTAATAAAATCTATTTTAAAAATATTTTTTTCTTAAATCAGCAGAATCAGCCAATGCAGCCACTTCAGCCAAACTTCATAAATTTCAGCAGAATCAGCCGAATCAGCCGATTTTCGTGCTACCAAACGAGCTCAATAACGTTTCAGTTTAAGCTAGTCTAACGGAATATTTTGAAAATATAATACTACGTACAAATCTAATATTACCCCGTCCCATTTTATGTGTCTTACTTTGACTTGGTACAATTATTAATGAAGTGGTTGAAAAAGTAAAAGTTGTGGTTGAGATTTGAGTATAATAAAGTGAAATGGTGTGGACCACATATTTCTTTCCAAAAAAGGAAATGTGACACTTATTTTGGAACAACCAAAAAAAGAAAGTAAAAAATGTAAAATGGGACGGAGGGAGTACAAACGTAACAAATCTAATAATGTCCATCCATATTTAAGTACTATATTCGTCCCAAATCGATTTGCAAATTTCACTTTTTTTTTCGAACAGTTTTGTTTTGTTCACTTAATTAGGATGTCAAATTTTAATTATATGCTAATTTGGAATTTACAAGTTTGAAAAGATTTTGATGTAGTTTATAATATGTAAATTTTAATTATTAAAAATTGAATTAATTATGCATGCATAGGGATGATTGACTTTTATTATTGGTTGACAAAAAAATGTTGACTTTGCAAAACAAATTGGGACGAAGGGAGTAATTGGTAGTAATGATGTTTTCTTTTGGACTGTTTTCAGTCCCAGACCAAGTCAGACCAGATCAGACCAAACTAGATCAGAACAGACTTCCGTAGTTATAAAATACAAAGAGACCAGACCATTAGTAGAACAGACTAGATCAGTTCAGACCAGTCCAGACTTGCAAAACATCATAATAGTAGTACTACGTATTTGATTGTAACTGTTCCCGGAGTACGTAATTTCTGTCATTATTACAGCCTATTATTATTATTATTGATAATAATTGTAATTTATAGAAATACTGAATTAATACTCCGTATACACATACCGTAATTAGGATGTTTTTACTTGGACTGTAATTTGCTGGTCTGGTCTGGTCTGGTCTGGTCTGGTCTGAACTGGTCTGGTCTGGTCTGGTAAAGTCTGGTTTCTTTGTATTTTTATAACTATCCAAGTCTGGTCTGGTCTGGTCTGGTCTGAACTGGTCTGGTCTGGTCTGGACTGGTCTGGTCTGGTCTGGTCTGGGGCAAATTACAGTCCAAGTAAAAACATCCTTAATATACATCCGGGTACATAAATAAATTAAATAACACACAAAACCAGAAAATTTAGGATAAACCGTAGCTACTCATGCTAATTACTGGAAAATAAAGGACTGCTATAAAAATAAGCCCCATATATATTCTCTTACGCTAATTCCGAATTAATCCCTCATTATTGGGAGTTAGTTACTCACCCAAAAATCTCATCCATATGATAACCTATTTTCTCTCCTTAACTTCCCACTGCTGCGCACGTAATCCCTTCTCTTTTATCTCTCTCTTTCTCATTTCTTTCTTTCTGTCTTTCTGTCTTTCTGCTTCTTTCCTTCATTTGACTCGTTTATAACTATACAGAAATGGCGGCTAGTTCTTGCTTAACTTCCTACTATCCTACCTGGGAAACCACTCACGACAACTTCCTTAACTTCACCCAAATCTTCGACGACCATCCGCCGCCGCAGCCAGTGGATAGTCATCACCTTCTTGAACCTCCGGCGGGTGAGCTTCTTTTTGGCGGCTTCAACAACCATCATCTTGTTCTTCCCGAACCCACTCCGGTGGACCCTCATTTCAACTCCGACTACCCCGTCTTCTCCGGCGACTGCTTTTCCTTGCCGCCTGACTTCTCCTTCCAGCAAGACCTCGAATTTCGGCAGCCCCTACCCAAGCGCCAGAAGCTCTTCCACAGTGAGGAAGAAGACATTACCCAGAGCTGTTTCGGCGTCTTCATTCCGAACCCTCCTCGCCTGCACGAGTTCAAGCCTCCGCCTCCGTTGCCGGAGCTCCCGCGTGCTTCGCTTACAGCTTACAGCTCGGATGCGGAGAGTTGGATGGCGGGGAAGAAAAGCGACGGCGGAAAGACGCTGTCGCCGCAGAGCATTGCCGCTCGGGAGAGGCGGAGGAGGATCACGGAGAAGACGCAGGAACTGGCAAAGCTGATTCCGGGCGGCCAGAAAATGAACACCGCCGAGATGTTTCAGGCGGCCTATAACTACATCAAGTTCATGCAAACCCAAGTTTCTGTACTTCAGTCTTGCCTCTCCCCATCTCAGGTAATTTAATTCATTTATTACAAATATAATTACTTAAGATAAATTATTTCACTATACTTATTTACTTATCATTAAGCACATTTAATGTTTAAATGAACATTTAATTTTCAGTACATATTTACATTTTCATTATATATATAGCTAGTACTCCTTGCTTGAAACTTGACAGTTAAGTACTACTAGTAGTATATTTTTCTTGAAAGGAAAAGTTGAATTATTGTTCGATTATTACAAAGAAAAGTAACAATTACGTAGTACTACATTTGTCTCTGATTTAATTATATTCCAAATCTCGGTTATTGCAGGGAGTATATATGTATTACTACCTCCGTTCCAAAAAGAGTTGCAAATTTGACTTTTCTTAGTCAAACAGTCTCGTTTTGTTCACTTAATTAGGATGTCAATTTTTAATTATTTTCTAATTTGGAGTTTACAATTTTGAAGAGATTTTAATATAGTTTTTGAATATATAAATTTTAATTATTAAAATTGAATTAATTATTCATAGTTGACTTTTATTATTGGTTGACCAAAAAATGTTGAATTTGCAAAATAAATTGGGACGGAGGGAGTATATACGTAGTAGTATATATACTATTAATAATCCACAAGTCCATAACTGAAAAAACAATTAAATACTGGGTATTCATTTTGAGAATATAATGATTAATACTCCGTAGCTGTTATGCTTTGTGTGAATAATTCATTAAATTGTTTGACAATATATATTGAGGTTTAGCTAGGTTTTATAATGACTGCAAATCAATAATTGTATATAGAGTAAACTTCATGTCAGGCCGGCCTGACGGGCTGCCCCGTCCGGCCGAGCCCGTTTGGGCACCTTCCCGGTGGAATTTTTTGATGAAATTTTTTGAGCATGTTCCTCATCAAGTCTAGTTTGTACATACCAAATTTCAGCTCAAAATTCGATCGGGAAGGTCGTCAAATGATTTTTGCAAGTTAACTGGTCCGGAATATGTATTTTCCAGACCAGTTAACTTGCAAAAATCATTTGACGACCTTCCCGATCGAATTTTGAGCTGAAATTTGGTATGGACAAACTAGACTTGATGAGGAACATGCTCAAAAAATTTCATCAAAAAATTCCACCGGGAAGGTGCCTAAACGGGCTCGGCCGGACGGGGCAGCCCGTCAGGCCGGCCTGATGAGAAGAGCCCTCTTGTATATATACGGAGTATTTGTATATGTGTACGTTATTACGTTAATGTTGCAGGAAAATGAGGAGACATTAATGAATGAAGAATTAGAGACACTTGTCGGGTCTTCGTTGATTCAAGAGAAATTGTATTCAAAGGATAAGTGTTTGGTTCCAGAAAAGTTCATCCAAACACTTCCAAATTCTCAGGATCAATTGGTGAGCTCAATCAACCCACCAACAAAATAGGAATCTAATTTTACGCAATTTTTTGTCTTCTTGTTTCCATTGATAAGTTGTAGTCGATCTGCTAACTATTTTTTGTGAGCAAACTAGTTAGTCTTTTTGCTTCTTTTTGTTAATTAGTCTTATAATTTTGTACCTATTAGGAATACTTTTCTTGTAAATATCTGTTTTACAAGGGAAGTTAGAGTGCTGTTTCACTTGGTTAATTAATATTATTAATTCATCAATTGAGTTGCATCCAATTTTTTTAGCACTTTTTCAAGTAAAATTAGCTAGTCAACTTCCAATTATTTACTTGGACAGGATCTAAGTCATTTAGAATTTTTTTGCTTAAAGAATGTTGGAAAAGCGTAGTTAAGAAGACCCTCTCCGTAAATTAATTACATGCGTGGATAACTGCTCGGGGGTAGAGAACTGAACGGTTGGAGGTTGTTTAATACATTTTCCCTTTGTTAATTAAGACAAGAGAAGTCAAATATCATGGCTTGTTTGCAATCCCTTAAGAAAAGTGATTTTGGCTTTTTTAAAAGAAAAAAACACTTATTTTACCAAACATTACCAACTTTTACTTTTCTCGACTTCCGTGAAGAATCTACTTTTTACTTTTTCTATTACACAAAAAGCACTTATTTTACCAAACACTACCAACTTTACTACTAATCACTTTTTCCCAAAAATTGCTTTTATTTCAGCACAACCTAGTGCAAACAGAGCCTCAAGAATGATCAGTAAGCTAAGGGACTAATTAATAAGAAAAGTAATCCCGTATCTTTTCATAATGGTTTCAAGTTTTTTACTACTTAAAATTTTAATCAATTTTTACATTTAACAGTGTTGGGGTAATGGGCCATATGCCGGATGAGATAGTAACGGTCCGTTCAAACTAAGAGTAGGTCTTACAAGGCCTGAGCTAGATATGAATTAGCTAGCTAGTGAAGGATCGGCCAAGATTACTCTACTTGTGCTTTAGATTAATTCTATTGACGACCCCAAATTAATTTAGTTTACATAAACATCTAAATCGTCCTTATTATAAATCGTTACTTTGAATCGAATGCAAGAATGAATTTTACACGTACAACAAAGGTTATGCACACAAGTGATCTCCGGCTTCGAAACACCAAAACCATCCAAGAAGCACATTCGTCAATATTGATCATCTCTTTTAGCGAGTTCATTCACTGCAAAAAATACGGGATTGACAGGAATTGTTGGCATGAATTTTTCGAAATTGACAGGGATTTTGGAAGGGATATCCAAATGCGTGCCAAAAACAGTTTGACACGAGATATTCAGTACCAAATCATGTTTCTCCTATATCTTGTTACTGTTTCTTCTTTTTTTCATTTTTTTAACTTTTAACCTTTTTTAAACGCTTTTGCTAGAAATATTCAAGACCGCATTATATGATTCATGATGGTCAACTTGTGTGTTTAGCACATACTATGATTATATTTACATACATGTATAGCTTTGTTTAATTTCTCTTCAAAAATATAATATAGGCACTGTGTTTCGTAATGACGATGATATGATTGTGATGTGGGGGGAGGGGAGGGGAGGGGGGGGGGAGAGGAGGATGAGGAAAACAACGAAGGAGGAGCTACGAGGAGGTGGAGGAGGAGGAAAATTGAAGAGGAGGATGCAGTGGTAGGCTGAAGCCTAGCTAAGGCAACTGAGATTTTATTTTTAATTTTTAGTGTATTTTTTTTATTTTTCACATTTAACTCACCCTTTTAATATTTAAGTCTAGTATAATTTCTATTCAATCCAGAGCATCTCAAAATTCTAGATCCGCCGCTAATAATGATGAATTGATGATGAATGTAAGGGGGCTGGGGGCAAGGCCCCCTACCCATATGAATGAATTACTCCAATGGATTTCTACTCCGTATACGTAAAATTTGTATATATATGAACGTGTAACTGTGCAAGTCGAGTTTTATTGAATTTCCCATTCATGTACATGTATTCTTATTATTCGCCATTCTCACACAGTCACACTCCGCATCAGTCCAACAATCAGTCGTATATACCGAGTATATACGGATTTTATTTCAACATTTATTTTGCAAGCATTTCGACATTATTAGAACACACTTGTATTATTTTTTCTTTCTTTCAGTACAAAAATTAAAGAAGAGCCAAGATTTTACTTCATCCTCTTCCGATCGTCTTCCAAGCTCGTCTGGATCTAGCTTCGGGATTGGATCTTCATTGTCATTTTCCCTTCAAATGCTTTTCTCAAATTCACATTCTTCTGAAGACATATTAGTTAAAAGAGGAAAAAACTTAATTCATTGGCGAAATATCTATTACTCATATCCTGATTAAATAACTAATACCTGTAGAGTTAATTAAATCATTCATCCTTAATCCTTAGGAGATAAATTAGAGAATAAAGTTATGTTGCCCACGTGACATCAAAGAAGGTTGCACGATTATTAAGAAAAATGAGTTTGTGTGGTTGATATTAAATTGTTAAAGTAAGAATAATTTAGAGACACACAAACTTTACTAAATTTGGTATGAGACAATCTTAGTGGGATTTTTCGAAATGATAAAATGGGACAAAAGTATAGAGTTACTTTCCTTGTATCATACTACATTTTTCCCATTGTATGTGTCCTACTATCACTTGAAATAATTATTAATAAATTTGTTGAAAAGCTAAGTAAAAGTTGTGATTGAGATTTTAGTATAATAAAGTGAAATGTTGTAGACTACATATTTATTTCCAAAAAGGAAATATGACACTGATTTTGGGACAATCCAAAAAAGAAAGTAAGAAAGGTAAAATGAGACGGAGGGAATTACTTTGTACTACTAGTTTGTGAAATGATAGGGAAGTATTTAGTCTATACATTATAAGTAGTATAGCGTAAAACCCTAATATATAAAAGCTTGGCTTGCAAGACTCACCTTGCTAATAAGATCAACCGCAACAGCTTCATGACTATCACTGCCAACATCGCGTAGGCTGGTGGGGTTGACCCGAGGTCCCGTGGTGCGGAAGAACCATGGCTTAGATGGTGTTGCTGCTAGCGAAAGCCGTTCGCCAGGAGCATGAACTATATAGATAGGGAAGGGTATATCTTTTGTTTCCTTGTTTAACTCTGGTGTCTTCATAATCCTCATTTTCTGTTCCAATTCCCTGGTTCTCTTGTTTACCTTCACATATGATGTTTAATTTTGCATGTAATAAGGTTCATAAAGAAATAAATATATAACAATTAAGTGATTTGATGTTATTAATGTAGGAAAGAGTTTTTTTTTAAGGAATGTAGGAAAGAGTTATTAAACCTGTTTTGGAACAATATGTAATTTTATAGGGAGTATATACAATAAGTAATAGGTCATTACAACTATAATGTACTTATTGTGAAATAATGGGAAAGAGGTACTCCAATAGGAGTCCTGACAGATATATTTATAATAGAAGAGTTGCCAAAATATAAAGTATTCCTAAATAGATATTAGGCAGATTCCTAAATATCTATTAGGTAGATTCCTAATTATATTAGCCTATTACACCCCCTCAAACTGTGCGGGAGATACAACGCGCAGGTTGTCTTTTAAAAAAATAAAATTGCAAACTAAAAAAAAAACTCTTAGTAAATATATCCGTGAGCGGAAGATTAGAAGGCACATCTTTGACAATAAGATCTCCATGAGAATATATGTCTGCAGCAGCCAGCGGCGAACTCAACAGCGCGCTTGAAGCAAGCACCGTGGTCAGCGATGCAGAGAAGGTGGGCTGTGCGGACATAGGCAGCAGCAGCAGGCGGCGAACTCAACGGCATGCTGGAAGCAAGCACCGTGTTCAGCGACGCGAAGGAGGTGATCTGCGCCATATTAGCCGCGCTCATCTTCAAAGGATCGGAGACTACCGTAAATGTGGCGGCAGTCGACCCTGAGGCGGCGGCGGCTATAATAAGGTTCATGGGAACCGAAAAAAAGAAAAAAATTGTATCTACAAACCTAGAGCTCTTGATACCATGTGAAATAATGGGAAAGAGGTACTCCAATAGGAGTCCTGACAGATATATTTATAATAGAAGAGTTGCCAAAATATAAAGTATTCCTAAATAGATATTAGGCAGATTCCTAAATATCTATTAGGTAGATTCCTAATTATATTAGCCTATTACTTATGTCATATGATTACCTACCTTTGATTTACTGACATAGGATTAGTTGTAAAACAGAATCTTGTCATATGTTATTATCATAATTGTTACCCTTCTAACCTAGTTCGTAAGGATAAATAACATAGAGGAAAGTACCAAAATACGCGATTTTGTTGTCTGACAAGTCAAAATAAGGGAGTTCCAATTAGGTTACCAAAAAGCGGGAGTCGGAAGTATGGTTTCCGACTGGAGGTAGGGCTTCTAAAAATAAGGAAATACCTGTGGTTGGATTTGGGGAATCCGACTAGAGTTTTATTTTTTCGATTTAAAATTCCAGTTGGAATTGGGTGTTCCAACCATGTTAGGATGTTTTCTTTTGGACTGTTTTCAGTCCCAGACCAGACCAGACCAGACTTAAACAGACCAGATCAGACCAGACCAGACTTAAACAGACCAGACCAGACCAGACCAGACTTAAACAGACCAGACCAGACCAGACTTCCGTAGTTATAAAATACACAGAGACCAGACGTTTACCAGACCAGACCAGACCAGTTCAGACCAGACCAGACTTAAACAAACCAGACCAGACCAGACCAGACTTAAACAGACCAGACCAGACCAGACCAGCAAATTTCAGTCCAAAAGAAAACATCTTTAAAGTGGAATATTTTCACTTTAATAAATCTGAGCCGAAAGAATATGGTTAAGTGGAGTACTTCATTACTGTTTATTAGTGAAAGGAGTTAATGTAATTGGTCCGGAAATTTCTCTGAGTATACGTGTTTCGGTTTTGGCCTAGTTTTTCATCAAACTCCTACGGTAGTTGATGTGAATTTTTTCGCACTTAAAATAGATTGTAGTAAAGGATTGAAGTACGAGTATCGTCTCCACAGTGACAGACAAAAATAAATTAAGAATTGACTAAATTTAGCAATTAAAAAGAAAATAAAAGAAATGCAATGGTGCGAAATTTGACTAATTGGAAAATTAAAATGCAATAAAACGGTTAAAAAACTTGTTTCTTTTTAATTAACGACGAAGGGAACATGATTGATTCCGGGGTAACAAGGTTTATGACAGATCAGCTTTAATTACATGAACTTAATTTAATTGAGCAACGCAAATCATTACTAAGTTCTTACCGCTCTCGCAGCGTAGAGTACAATAATTTAGGAGACCTGGTTTAATCTCTCATATGACATGATCCTAAATTATTGCCAAAACGAGCGAGCATATGACCCCTTAATCGCTACTAATCTCTTAGCGAACGATTAAGTGTGTGTGTGTGTGTGAAGGTGTCTTAGAATAAACTAGATATCTCTTAATTTATTTTATATGCAATTGTAATTCTAGCTGCAGTTCTAGGTTACAAGAGATATCAATTAAATTATTCAAACACAAATTAAACGGCATTCATGCAATTAATCCATCAAGAAACTAACCATACATCACGATTAACCACTTCATCAATCTCAAATCCCTAATTAAAACTACTTACAACTCATAATTGAATAATCAACAGAATTGGTATGAACAGAATTAATTATCATAAATTAAAAAAGTAGGAACTTACAAATAATCTCAGAGTCTTGAACAAATAAGCAGAAAAATACGTTCAAGAAGGAGAGGACCCAAGTAATTTTGTAATGTATACTCTATTGGAATTTTTGTATTGCATCGAATTACTAATGTAATATTGGTTCTCTCATTTTTTATGTCTTAAGATGTTGTTCAGATAAATATAAAAAGATATAATATAATCAGATGATATTTCAGATTATAAATTTAATCAGATGATATTTGAATCAGATAAAATGAACCAGATAAAATTTAATCAGATAAATATAATGAGATAAATATAATCACATAAAATTATAACAGATAGAATTTAATCAGATGAATATAATCAGGCAAAATTTAATCACATAAATATAATCAGATCAAATTTAATGAGATACGGATTTTGGTCACTTCAATATTCATAAAAAAGTGTAATCCGGATTGGTCAATTAAAAAAGTGGTATCACTTCAATTTAATTAAAAAAGTTTAATTAATTTTCGAAAATTTATTTGGAATTATTAAAAATTAAACCTCTAGTCGGATTAGGCACTTCCAACAAGAGGTGTAATCCGTTTTTTTTAAATATTTTATCTCTGGTCGGATTCCTCAGTTCCAACCGGAGGTTTTCTATGAATTAAGCCAAACCCTAAATAAATCCCCATATTTTGGCAATGCATGTCACATTTTCCCGTATTTTGGGAAATCACCCAATAACTTACTATGCTCATCTCATCTATGCTGTCAGTGTCAATGTCACTGTCATTGTCACTATCAACATCGTCATCATTGCTATTGTAGTCAATGTCTGAGAGGCTTGATAAGCTCGAGAGACTCTCACTCTCACTATCGCTATCACTGCAGCTGATTTGTTTATGAGGCTGCAATCGTGCCTTAGTAATTAACGAAGTAGGTCGTTTTTCCTTCTTACGGAACAGATTATGGACCGGAAATCTTGGATGATAAGAAGATCTGCATCCGAACACTGTTGATTTTCCCAGAAATGGTAGAAACGGGAAGGCCATATAAAATGTACTCCGTATCTGATTTGTAATACGTGTGTGATGGGTGAATGGAATGATTCGCTCTTGTTCATACCTATTTATACGTAGTATTAACTACTTTGAACTTAATAAAGTATACTACTTCCTCCGTTTCAAATTCTTTTGCAAAGTCAATTTTTTTTATCAACTAATACTAAAAGTCAATCCTTCCTATCGATGATTGACTCAATTATTGATAATTAAAATTTACATATTATGAAACTACATTAAAATTTCTTCAAAGTTGCAAATTCAAATTAGAATATAATTAAAAATTGACATCCTAATTAAGCAAATAAAATGAAACTGTTTGTTAAGAAAAGTCAAATTTTCAAATCAATTTAGGATGTAGATAGTCATTCAAATTATTATATTCCTTAGATAGCTTTATAGCTAGCTAGAGCGAGTATAGCTTGGCTCCTGAGGATAAGGAATGCATAATACGTCGTATCAAAATGGCCGAAACTGCCGATAAACTTTAAAAGTGTGCCGATCGATACCCTTTATGTTCGTTTTTATATAGACATACGGAGTTATAATATAATATTTCTTCACACAATATAAAAACCATTCTACTACATGTTCCTTTATGTTTTGATGAATTTGTCTTAACAAAAGTTTATTAGTCTAGTAAAATTAAATAATATTTAAATATTTTAAAATAAAATAATACGGAGTAATAAAAATTGTGACAACTTAGGTCCTGGGTTGATAGTTTTCGATCACTTGGATCCTATACCGACACATTTCATCTTCGGGATATCGGATTGATTGTTTATTATCTTTCAGATCCTAGATTGATAAAATTCCGATTATGAATCAATAACACAAAGATTTGGTTTTTTATACTATACCTTCCACACACGTTGAAATGTTTGTTGATCACGATTATATCTTTAATTATTGCTTCCCGATTGGTCAATCGTGGAGCATGCCCAATTCATGGAGGGTAGTTACGGATAACGAAATCATTCATTAATAACTCAAACTATTATTTTGTCAAAAAACAACTCTAACTATTAGCCAAAAATATACTACGTAATAGAAAACTGTCATATACCAACTTGATAATAGCATTTAGGGGCTGTTCGGATCCGCTTCTTAAATCTGTTTCTCCTCCTTTAGGGAACATAAACAGATATTGAAGTGTTTGGGTGAAAGTGCATAAGTACATCCGAGTGCTCCAAATTACTCCTAGAAACCGTTTTTTAGAAGTTGGGGGAGATCAACTTCTAAAAAACTGATTCTGATTCTACTTCTGCTTTTAAAAAAGAAGCGGAATTAGTTTCAAACACCCCTTAATATCTTAAGTTCTTGATTAATCAATTGAGGTTTCGTTTCAAACGGTTTTGTTTCAACCAAACACATACCATTAACTTGTATGTTGCTATTAAGACGTTACGTTCAATTTGCCTTAATTTAGTGATTTTTACACATGCGACTATTTATATATGTGTTGAATAGACAATCTAAATTAACTCATTTATATTAAGTTACTTAATTATTTTTGAATTCACATTGTCAATGTGTAATACATGTCACTAATTACTACACATCAATTCTAAAACGATTTAAACGACTGATTAAATGGATAAAATAGGGAGGATTATTAAGTCATAATAAGAAATTATAATTTGATGGAGGAACAATTGAGTGAGGGTCTCAATTATGTTTTTTGAATATCTTTTCATGTGTTTTTTATGGTACACGTGAATCGGTGATTATAATACAAATCTAAAACAAACAAAAAACATTTACCCGAAATACGTTTAATCATTGTAGACATATAAAAAATATTGGGCTGATTCAGATTATCATTACGTCTTTTTGAAGTGCAACTGGGCCAGCATTAGATTCCGGTGGACTGATACCGTGATGGTTGTTGGGCCTTATCGAGAAGGAAATAGTGTCATGGATCTCTTGAGATAAAATTTATTAATTCAATTAATTTGGATCATTCAAAATATCCAATTAATTGAATTATAAATTAAATCTTTAAAAGAATGGACCGATCCAATTAATTTTGAGCCCATTATCAAATAGTGGCTCAGTATATAAGCAGGATGATCCAATTGATAAAGAGGCCAACGAATCCGGTTAAGAAATGTGTCCATATGCATGAAAAATAGCTCTGAACATTGTTAAAAAAGTTGTCCAAATACATCAACAAGTGCTGATTTTTTCTAGCTATTAAATGCAAGCAAATAGAGCCCAAAACCCATTTTAATTGAGGCCCATATAATATGGACGAATTTCTGCAACCCTAAAGCCACATTTTCACCCCCTCCACACCTATAAATAGGGGTCTCAGTTGAGAGAAGAGGGGGAGAACTTCCAGACGAAGAAACGCTGCAGCAAAGCTCTGAAGAACTCCCGAAAGGCTCTGAAGGATTCCGAAGAAGAGGAAGAGATCAAGCCACGTTTTTGTCAAGAATATATGAATAATCCTTTGTGATTTCATCGATTCTTGATCAAACAAAAGCCAAAAGTTGAAGAACGTTCGAAGATCTGAAGAACGAAGCTTGAAGATTCGAAGATCTGAAGAACGAAGCTTGAAGATTCGAAGATCTAAAGAACGAAGCTTTGAAGATTCAAAGATATGAAGAACGAATCTTTGAAGATTTGAAGATATTCATATGAAGATTGAATCAATATTCAATTGAAGATCAAGCCATATATCCCGGGAAGCCCTTTAACAGAAGATCAAGCCACATAACGGCCCTTTTGTTGAAGATCAAGCTACTTGAAACCGGAGGCCCTTCAATATTGAATTTTGCATTCAAGAAGATTTGAAGATCTGAAGAACGAAGTTCGAAGATTCGAAGATCTCAAGAACGAAGATTCAAAGAATCGATGAACGTTCGAGTTTTTGAAGAATTAGAGATTTAATTTTAAATTAAATTCTTTAATTATATTCATATCAAATTGCAAGTGAAGAATCAGAGGATTAATATTTAGAGATTGTACCCGATATTCTCACATATTATTATTTGCGATCAATTTTAAGTAAATACTTAAAATTTGTTTCACAATCATATTTAAAATATGGGCAAGGCCAGTCCTAACAAAGCGGGGACTCTGTGCAACAGTAAAAACCGGGCCTTTATTTAAATAAGTAAACAATACGGAGTATTATATATTGTACACTATTAATAATAAGTTACTACTCCGTATTACTTTATGTCAAACTAGCTTTCAAGCCCGTGCGATGCATGGGCAGTATGTAATTTAGCTAATTTGAAATTTAATTTCTTTCAGATCACATATAATGTGATTTAAAAGAAAAAAAACTTAGTCTAATATAGAGTCTGTTTGATAATACTAAAATAAATAGAATTAACTTATTTTGTTGAAATTGATTGAATTCTGGTTAAATAAGTGGAATCTCCTGAATCATGAAAAATGCATGTGAAATATATTCCATCTGTGAAACAAAGAAAAAGTTATATGAAAAAAAGTTAAATTGGTCTTCTACATGAGCAGTAAACATAATTGTTATGAACCCAATATTAAAAAAATCTCTATTTCTTAATTGTTAGATCTTACATTTTACTCATTAATAAGGATGTTTTTATTTGAATTAAAATTTCAGGTTCTATTTGGTATAAATTAATATGGTCTAGTAGATGTCTGTTTTTTATGTGACTTATTATTATAATTGTTATGATTATTAAAATTTGATCTAATCTGATTTAATCTGAAACTGAAATCAATCCAATTAAAAACATTCTATTAAAATAAAAGTATGAATTTGTAAACATATCAATATTTTTTAATTTGGATTAGGAATCTATTTTAAAAGTGAAGGCATATTTAAATTTTAGTTGTAACATAAAGATACAACAAAAAATATTTACTTATTTGGCTAGGCTAAACGTATTTACTTGCGAAAATATATATATATATACTTTATGTTGGTTATAATTTTTAATTTCATTTCTAATTATTTATTTATTTGAAGCTTACTAATTTATTAATAGGTGTCAAATTAATAAGTAAACTAATTTGCATATTTGTTTCTATTTAATTCCTTTTAGTAAACTTATGTAAATTAGTTTCCATATCGTTATTAGAATTTCACTTTGATAACCAAAAATTATTTTACTTATTTAAAGCTTACCAAATTAATTAAGGTGGATTTCTAAGAATTTTTGTTTCCATATCAATATGCAATCAAAAATAGAATCTAATAAAAACAAAAGGTATAAAAAATAATTAAATAATTGTTATATATAATGACATGGCAGGATTATGTAGCGCATTGTATGCTCTTAAAAAGTTCCTCTTTTATATATATATATATATATATATATATATATATATATATATTGATTTCAGGTTCTATTTGGTATAAATTAACATGGTCTAGTAGATGTCTGTTTTTTATGTGACTTATTATTATAATTGTTATGATTATTAAAATTTGATCTAATCTGATTTAATTTGAAACTGAAATAAATCCAATTAAAAACATTCTATTAAAATAAAAGTATGAATTTGTAAACATATCAATATTTTTTAATTTGGATTAGGAATCTATTTTAAAAGTGAAGGCATATTTAAATTTTAGTTGTAACATAAAGATACAACAAAAAATATTTACTTATTTGGCTAGGCTAAACGTATTTACTTGCGAAAATATATATATATATACTTTATGTTGGTTATAATTTTTAATTTCATTTCTAATTATTTATTTATTTGAAGCTTACTAATTTATTAATAGGTGTCAAATTAATAAGTAAACTAATTTGCATATTTGTTTCTATTTAATTCCTTTTAGTAAACTTTATGTAAATTAGTTTCCATATCGTTATTAGAATTTCACTTTGATAACCAAAAATTATTTTACTTATTTAAAGCTTACCAAATTAATTAAGGTGGATTTCTAAGAATTTTTGTTTCCATATCAATATGCAATCAAAAATAGAATCTAATAAAAACAAAAGGTATAAAAAATAATTAAATAATTGTTATATATAATGACATGGCAGGATTATGTGGCGCATTGTATGCTCTTAAAAAGTTCCTCTTTTATATATATATATTGATTATTAATTTTTTTTATTAACAAAGCAATAAAAAAACATGTGTTAACTAAATACATTTCATAGTCAATGTTCTAAAAGCCGTAAAGTGTATCAAGGTGGCGTGATTAAGTCTTAAGCCACTTAAATCTTGCAGTGACAAGACATTTTGATTTTATACTTTCTTTTAATTTATGTAGAGATTTTTTTAGTATAAAAGTCTAATATTAAATAATACGGAGTATCTTATATTTTTTTTTTCAAGTTCTAGTCTAATATGACAGAGTGCTATATTTGACAAATATAAATTTAACTATTACACAAAGACTAGAATTTGAAAAAGTAGTTGAATACTAAAAATAATGATGATGAAATTTAATAATAATAATTATACAAACAACAACAACAACAATAATAATAATAGCAATAACAACAACAACAACAACAACAACAACAACAATAATAATAATAATAATAAGATGTGTTTCAAAAATATTAATGAAATAAAACATATTATTAAATTTTGCCTAAAGTTCTTATGATTATAATGTCATGATCACTTGATTTCGAAAAGGAATATATTTTACTATGACTAAATTATTATAATCATTACATATAAATAATCAAATTCTTATAAATATCATTTATTTTAGTTATAAAATTGTAATTATTTAAAAGAATAATGATTCATTTAATGTGTTGAGTTTAATCCAACACGATATAGTAAATATATGTATAAATGTGTATGAACAACTCAGTTTTTACGTGGAAACCCGAAAGGGAGAAAACCACGGGACTTTTTAGGCTAATGTCCAAGCCCTCTCTTTCTCATTAGGACTCTCCTCACAATTACATTGTACAAGCTCCCATTAATGGAGTATTGAGCTAAGTCTAAAAGAATGAGGGAGGTGGAGCTAAAAGAGGATCCCCAAAACATGGAGGGAAGCCTCCTATAAATAGGGGAAGGGGAGAAGGGGCTCTCCACCCTAATGGGCCAAACGGGCCAGGGTGGGCCCAAATGGCTAAAGTGGGCCGGATGGGCCGAAATGGGCCTAGCTGCTCGGGCCCCGTACTACGTAAAGCCTTGGACTCATGAACAGTAATAGGCCGGGATAATATATCCCAACACAAGTCCCCCAGTTTCTTGAGTAGTGAGCTCGCGAATCTGCTCGAGAAAATATACTCTGCCTGCGCTCTTCCTCTGTCTTGCTGGAAACTGTGTCTTCACATAATCATCATATATGAGTGAGTGTCTGCACTCCTGAACGTAATCTACCAGTGAGGCACCCCCCTTCCCGACAGGGTCGGGCGAAGGGTGCTCCTCCACGGGCACACTCCCGCTGAATGCATCAGGCGGGAGTATAGGACTCCGACTCGATCTTTCCAATCGGAGAAGCTTAGAGGTCCATGCATCTATAAACCGACGTCGCGGTACTGTCAAAACATGATGCACGTGTGTATGTATGAATGTATGAGGTATGATGCATGAATGCATGTAATGTATGGGTGCAATGTATGAGAGAGGGAATGCAAGATGTGATAGGAGCGGTAGCTCTCAACGATAACCCGGGCATGTCAGCGCCGAGGGGCAGACGTGCTGCATAAGAGACGTTCGTCGCCATCCTGAAAGGGATGGGCGACCCTAACGTGAGCCATACACGATGGCGCTGGGGCGCTAATTGTGCTGCATAAGAGACGTTCGTCGCCATCCTGAAAGGGATGGGCGACCCTAACGTGAGCCAGGCACGATGGCGCTGGGGCGCTGATCGTGCTGCATAAGAGACGTTCGTCGCCACCCTGAAAGGGATGGGCGACCCTAACGTGAGCCAGGCACGATGGCGCTGGGGCGCTGATCGTGCTGCATAAGAGACGTTCGTCGCCACCCTGAAAGGGATGGGCGACCCTAACGTGAGCCAGGCACGATGGCGCTGGGGCGCTGATCGTGCTGCATAAGACGGTCGTCGCCATCCTGCAGGGAAATGGGCGAGCCGAACCGTGAAGCCAAGTACGATGGCGCTGAGGGGCCGATCGCACTGCATAAGACGTTCGTCGCCATCCTGGAGGGAATGGGGCGATCCGAACGTGAAAGAGACACGATGGCACTGAGAAGCCGATCGTGCTGCATAAGACGGTCGTCGCCATCCTGGAGGGAATGGGCGAGCCGAACCGTGAATCTAGGTACGATGGCGCTGAGGGGCCGATCGTACCGCATAAGACGTTCGTCGCCATCCTGGAAGAGATGCGCGATCCGAACGTGAAAGAGACATGATGGCGCTGAGAAGCCGATCGTGCTGCATAAGACGGTCGTCGCCATCCTGGAGGGAATGGGCGAGCCGAACCGTGAAGCCAAGTACGATGGCGCTGAGGGGCCGATCGCACTGCATAAGACGTTCGTCGCCATCCTGGAAGGGAATGGGGCGATCCGAACGTGAACGAGACACGATGGCACTGAGAAGCCGATCGTGCTGCATAAGACGGTCGTCTCCATCCTGGAGGGAAATGGGCGAGCCGAACCGCGAAGCCAAGTACGATGGCGCTGAGGGGCCGATCGCACTGCATAAGACGTTCGTCGCCATCCTGGAAGGGAATGGGGCGATCCGAACGTGAACGAGACACGATGGCGCTGAGAAGCCGATCGTGCTGCGTAAGACGGTCGTCGCCATCCTGGAGGGAATGGGCGAGCCGAACCGTGAAGCCAAGTACGATGGCGCTGAGGGGCCGATCGCACTGCATAAGACGTTCGTCGCCATCCTGGAAGGCAATGGGCAAGACGAACCGTGAGTCTGGACACGATGGCGCTGAGGGGCCGATCGTGATACAGAAAAATAGTGATGATCATCTCATGGCCCTCGGCCTGTCGGTGAGTGGTAATCGTCTCACGGCCCTCGGCCGTGCTGGTGATGTGTCAAGTCTCTCTCCTGATTGGCTGTGAGAAGCCGATCGTCTGCCAGGACTCCATTCGGGAAGGAATGGTGAGCCTGAAATAAATCTGGGCGATGTCCCTTCTACCTGATCTGGGGGGCTAATCGTCGTTCGAGGCAAAAGAAAACCTGATGTTAGCCGATCGTCGTCGGCTACTTCATTCTTCGTACCTAAGTTTTGTAATTATTCTTTACATATGTTTTCCAGTTTGTACTTCCCGGCCAATAGCGCCGAGGGATAAAATGGTTCTTTGCTCCGTGCTCTTCTGGCATCTTTTTTTTTTTTTTTTTTTTTTTTTTTTGTGGAGTCTTTTAGTCTTCGTTCGTCATTGGTCCTTGGTCCTACCGGCGTTCTTACATCGAAGATACGTTCGGTATCCGCGGACATCGCAATGAGGAACAGGTATATCTACATCGAGATTCCCCCTTTTTCGTTCGTCCCTGGTCCTTTTAGTCTTACCGGCGTCTCTTGCATCGAAGAAGACGTTCGGTACCCAAGGAACTCGCAGGGACGAACTGGTTTACCCTCACGGGTTCCCGTCTTTGTTATCCCACGTCCATCGATCCATGGTCATTGTGGGATGAACAGGTTTATCTTGGCAAGGCTCCCTTGGTTCGTCTAGCCCCCTCCGCGTCTCTACTAACCTCTACATCGAGAGGCGTTCGTCTTCGGCGGTGGGAGAAGATCTGGCACACCCGGGCAAGATTCCCTTCCACATAGGAGCTACCCTCCTCTTCTCCCCATCTTTTTTTTTTTTTTTTTTTTTTGTTTGAGGGAGGCAATCTATATTCTTCGTTCGTCCTTGGTTCTTGGTCCTACCGGCGCTCTTGCTTCGAAGAGACGTTCGGTATCCGCGAAACTCGCAAGGAGGAACAGGTTTATCTGCATCGAGATTCCCTGGTGCTTCGTTCGTCCTTGGTCCTTGGTCCTGCCGGCGTCCCTACTTCGAGGAGACGTTCGGTATCCGCAGACATCACAAGGAGGAACAGGTTTATCTGCATCGAGATTCCCTGGTGCTTCGTTCGTCCTTGGTCCTTGGTCCTGCCGGCGTCCCTACTTCGAGGAGACGTTCGGTATCCGCAGACATCACAAGGAGGAACAGGTTTATCTGCATCGAGATTCCCTAGCTCTTCTTTGTCCGTCCCTGGTCCGTGGTCCTACCGATCTTCCTACATCGAAGAAGACATTCGGTATCCAAGAAACTCGCAGGGATCACGGGATGTCACTCATAATGGCGGTGGCATATCGAACGAATATAATGACGAGGCGATAGAATAGCTGGTCGTCATGCGAAGGCGATGGTCACCCTCCTGGAGGGGAGTCGTGAGCCCGATCGCAAACTCAAGAGGGTCGGCATTGAGAGCCGACAAATAATGATCATAACGCCGCTGAGCAGTCGGTCCTGATAAGGAGATGACGATAGTGTCCGATCAGGCCGATATATCCAAGCAACGGCTCTCATCCACGCAGCGCGGGGATGAAACCGGTCTTCAAAAGATAAATATGTCGTGCCGAGAGGCCGAACATAACATGATAGTGTCGGCAGTGAGAGGCCGAACTGAAAGAATCAAACAACGGTCCTCGTCCGCGGGGTGGCGGGGACGAGGCCGGTCTTCAAGAGATAAGCACGCCGAGCCGAGAGGCCGGTCGTGGTATAATGGTGTCGGCAATGAGCGGCCGATCTGAGAAAATCAAGCAACGGCCCTCGTCCGCGAGGGCGGGGACGAGGCCGATCTTCAAAAGATAAGCACGCCGAGCCGAGAGGCCGGTCGTGGTATCATGGTGTCGGCAATGAGCGGCCGATCTGAGAAAAACAGGCACGGTCCTCGTCCGCGAGCGCGGGGACGAGGCCGGTCTTCAAATATGATAATCACGCCATGCCGAGAGGCCGGTCGTGATGTGACGATATCGGCAATGAGAGGCCGATCTGAGAAAACAAGCAACGGTCCTCATCCGCGCATCGCGGGGACGAGGCCGGTCTTCAAATAAGATGGGGATATAATGGTGTCGGCAATGATAGGCCGACCTAAAATCAAGCAACGGCCCTCATCCGCGCAGCGCGGGGACGAGGCCGGTCTTCAAAAGATAAACACGCCGTGCCGAGAGGCCGGTCGTGATATAATGATGTCGGCCATGGGAGGCCGACCTAAAATCAAGCAACGGTCCTCATCCGCGCAGCGCGGGGACGAGGCCGGTCTTCAAATAAGATAATCATGCCGTGCCGAGAGGCCGGTCATGATGTAATGATGTCGGCAATGAGAGGCCGAACATGATGTGGCAGTGTCGGCAATGAGGGTCGACCTGCAATCCAGCAACGGCTCTCATCGGCGCAGTGCGGGGGCGAGGCCGGTCTTCAAAAGATAGGCACGCCAAGCCGAGAGGCCGGTCGTGGTACGACGGTGTCGGCAATGAGAGGCCGACATGAAAGAACCAAGCAACGGTCCTCATCCGCGCAGCGCGGGGACGAGGCCGGTCTTCAAAAGATGAACACGCCGAGCCGAGGGGCCGGTCGTGGTATGATAATGTCGGCGATGAGAGGCCGACCTGAAAATCAGGATGGTCTCACGGCCCTCGGCCGTGATGGTCTCCTCTAGGCCCTCGGCCTCTGAATGATGGATGATCGTCTCACGGTCCTCCGCCGTGGTAGTCCACTATAGTCCTCGGCCTCTAGGTGTTCTCTCCTAGGCCATCGGTCTCTGGGGTGGAGATGCTCGTCTCACGGTCCTCCGCCGTGGTGGTCTCCTCTTTAGCTGGCCCTGAACGTCTTCAAGACTCGGGCCGAGCGTCTTTTAATCATTTCACTCGAGCGCGTCGAGTGATTTCAGCTGCGCAATAAGCATGGTAACGGCCACATGGCCCAACAATAAATATGCACACATAACCATCTGCATGGCTTCCTCTTTAACATCCACGAATACCGGCCTATGGGTCATCGTGACCCTCGGCCCGGCTCATCGTGCGGGACTAATGGATGTAGCAGCTCGCGGCGGGGCCAACTGGCAGCCCGCCGTACGTCTCATAGAGATATTCATCGGTCCGTGAGTTTTCAAACTCAGACCCAAGTTGGTCGCACTGACCTCAGAAAAAGGAGGTTGGGTGCTTTGGTGCCTTCGGGCCCCACAGGCCACGTTTGGCAATAGTCATTTCGCTTAACGGCGTAAATGATACTGGGGTATGATTGTCGATCGGGCACGTAGTGCCGTGCGGACTATTGCGTAACCCTCAAATTAAAATGCGTCGTCGGGGCATCGCCCTACTGGAGACGCTCGGATCGCTCAATCTAGCTGATCGAGAGTGGGCTAACGGGCCCACAAGAAATTAAATATTCAATAAAATGTTGGCTGAACCAACCATCACTAGAGCTTCGCTCCACTTTATTTAATTCGGGACATTTTTATCCCTAATAAACAATAGTGATATAACAGGTAATAGCAATGATATTATCCTATCAAAGGCCATTCAGGTATGCTCCGTTCGCTAATTAAAGCCGACCAGGAGCGGGCCAACGGGCCCACAACAACCCATCATTAATTAAAATGATGGTGAAATTAATTATCACTAGAGCTTTACTCATCTGAGCTTTGCTCGACATTATTTAATTTCGGGGTATTTGCTCTCTATTAAATAATGGTGATAAAAATACTATCATTACTAATAGTTTAAACTATTTAACAATTACGGATTAGATGTATCAAGTTAAAGAGGGGTACTTATCTTTTTCGAGATGGAACCTCGGCCAGCAGGATTTGTGGAATCGGACTTGGTCTCCTTTGCCAATTTTGACTTGGTCAAAATTGCTCCAATCTTAATCCATCTGGCAATCACTAGTCCAATGACGTGGTCTTCTGGGAGCCAAGTTAATATGATCGGTGCTACTTACTCCACATCTATGGAAAAGGCTTCAGGAACATCGGCTCACCCACCCCAAGGTAATATGCCTGCGTCGGCCACCTTACCGAGGGAGGTTCAGGCGTTTGCCGCGGAGCAAGGACGGCCATATGGTCTGGTCTCGGTGGGAGGCCTGCTTATTGAGCTTCGAAAATACCTTCCCCGAGCTCCGAATCTCCATTAATGGAGGAAACCAAGGAGCTCACAGCCGGCCTATCCCTCAGGCCGCATTGGTAGAGTCGTGGAGGCTCGAGCTGCGACTGGCCAGGTGGAGGGATGACCAGCAGTTCACCGGCGGCGAAGGCGGCGGTGTGGCGACTCAAGCGATGGCCGGTGGAGCCAACGGTGGGCCATGAAACACTCTGTCGCCGGCGACGTTTTACCAGGAACGAAGCGGCAAAACCAATGGACGCTGCAGTGAGATTCCCCTGGGGTAGCTAAATTCACCGGAGGATCCATGGTGGCGCGAATGGCGGCGGCGGGTCCGGCGGCCCCAACTCAGATATGAAAAAATCCAGATTTGGATTTTTAGGATCCGTAGCTTCTTCCTTTCCCGGAATCATTTTTCCTAGAATTTTCCTTCTTTTTTGGTGAAATCAGTCCACTTCGTATGAATTTTTTGTGTAGGAACTCAAGAACAGTAAAACACATGAATCTTTTTGGACAGATTCCCACAGACGGCGCCAGTGTTGAGTTTAATCCAACACGATATAGTAAATATATGTATAAATGTGTATGAACAACTCAGTTTTTACGTGGAAACCCGAAAGGGAGAAAACCACGGGACTTTTTAGGCTAATGTCCAAGCCCTCTCTTTCTCATTAGGACTCTCCTCACAATTACATTGTACAAGCTCCCATTAATGGAGTATTGAGCTAAGTCTAAAAGAATGAGGGAGGTGGAGCTAAAAGAGGATCCCCAAAACATGGAGGGAAGCCTCCTATAAATAGGGGAAGGGGAGAAGGGGCTCTCCACCCTAATGGGCCAAACGGGCCAGGGTGGGCCCAAATGGCTAAAGTGGGCCGGATGGGCCGAAATGGGCCTAGCTGCTCGGGCCCCGTACTACGTAAAGCCTTGGACTCATGAACAGTAATAGGCCGGGATAATATATCCCAACATAATGCTTCGTGCAAACATCAATTTGCTTAGTTTGAAAATCCTTAAAACAAATTCCGTACTATAAGCATTTTTCTGCTTCATCTCATACTCAATATCCCACACCGTTCAAGTTGATAAAGCCCTTAGCACTATAGTTGTATAAATAAGTCCTCATGTTCAATGGCCTGTACGGGTCCAAGGATCTGCCTTAATTGCGGTTTTATCCGCTTGTTAGAACACTAGTGATAATTGTACTAGGAATTATTTTTTTGGTTGCTTCAATTTTTCTGGGCCCTATGAGGTTGGGCCCCCTACACATGCTCAGGGCCGGCCCTAAATATGGGTAATGAAAAGTAGTGTGTTTTCCTATAAAAAAAAAGTAGTGTGTTTCATTGTAAGAGCATCTCCAATGCTAAAGCGTTAACGGTGCATACGTGGCATGAGAAATAACCAATTAAAAAACAATAAATACAATATCTCTCTCCTTCTTTTCATGGTCTTATGTGTTTATGGTAAGTTTTTGTCTGCAATGTCAATCACAATGTCTACATCTAGACATTGTGCTTGACATTGTGAAGATAAACTTACCAAAATGATGTAAGATCCTTTAAATAAGGAGAGAGATATTATATTTATTATTTTTTAATTGATTATTTGTGATGCCACGTATGCACCGTTAACGTTTTAGCATTGGAGATGCTCTAACTGTTGGTTTCATTGTAACTGTTGCGGAGTATGTACTTTCCGTCATTATTTACAATCTATTTCCCACCGTCCCTCAAACTTTGCCAAGTTTGATCGGCACGGGTTTTAATAAAGTAAAAACTGTGTGGTTGAGGTTTGTGCAGATGAGAGTAATTGGAATCACAAATTCTTTACTTAAAAGGGAAAGTGGCAAGGTTAGTGGGACATCCAAAAAAGGAAAGTTAGCAAAATTTTAGGATGTTATCTTTTGGAGTTTTAGGATGATATCTTTTGGAGAGTTTTCAGTCCCAGATCAGACCAAACCAGATCATACCAGATCAAACCAGATCAGATCAGACAAGACTTCCGTAGTTATAAAATACACAGAGACCAGACGTTTACCAAACCAAACCAATTTAGACCAGACCAGATCAGACCGGATCAGCATATTTCATTCCAAAAGAAAACATTATTAAAAGACGGAGGTAGTATTATTCATTACTGTAATTAATAGTAATAATATACACTTATACTCCGTATCAGTTATATGATACAACCCGACATATAATAAATAGAATTAAATGACTCAGATCTAAAAAAAGGATAAACCAAAGCTACAAATGCTACAAATGACTCAGATCTAAAATAAAGGACTAATTATAAAAATAAGCCCCCAATTTTTTTCCGATAACTTCCGAAATATCCCAATTTCTCTGCGCCAACTTCCCACTGCTCTTTCTGCGCGCACGTATTTTAATTTCTTTTTTATCTCTCTTTTCTCATTTCTCATTTCTTTCTTTCTTCTCTGTATCTTTCTTTCATTTGACCTATTGCTTATTACAGAAATAGCGGCAAAAAAAAAAATTACAGAAGTGGCGGCTAATTCTTGCTTAGCTTCCTTTAATGACAACTTCCTTAACTTCAACCAATTAAATCTTGGACGACCCTTCACCAGTCCACCTCTCTTCTACCCCGAGCCACCGCCGCAGTCACAGTTGCTGTCGTGGATAGCAAGGCCGCTTTTAAACATGTTGAAAATTGTATTTTAAATTATTACGGATGAGTAAAATACATTGAGTGAAGAATAATAATGCAAATTCGTCATTTTTATTCTTTAGTCCTGGCCTTTTAGTTTTCTTGTACTCAAATTATTTGATTAATGAATTGTTTTTTTGCGAGGATTAATAACTTGTTTTGTTTGAATTCAAGTATTAACTACTTCTTTCATTCCAAAATTAACTTCTGGGTTTGACTACACACGTTTTTAGGTAAGAAATAAAATAGAATTTGACTTTCAAAGAGTACTTTTGCATAGTAACAAGTAGTGGTTCAAATTAATTAAAGAATGTAAATGAATAGTAAAAGTGAAGAGTCAACGGTACTTTGAAAGCAGCAACTTATCAAAGATAAATTAAGTAAAATTGAAAGTTAATTTTGGAACATCTCGAAAGGGAAACGTGGAAGTTGATTTCGTGATGGAGGGAGTATCATTTAGTAATTTTAACTAACATTGTTCAATGAGTATTCAATTTATTTGATTATTTAGATTGTGAATATTTTTTCATTTTCATATTAATGTGAGGACTAAATTTTACCTTTCGAACCGGGCCTTCAATGTTCCAAAAGGTTGAATCCCTGAAAATCCAAAATTGGACAATCTAAGCAAAAGTGGCTACAGTGAGTGAGTTGTGAGAAAAAGAAAAATAAAAAGAGATACTAAGATGAAAACCTGAAAAAGCTCCTAGTCAGAATGAGCGAATGCGAGAAAATGTTATTTTTTTGTTTATGCAGGAAATCATTGCACTTGTTAGCACTTGGGACCTAAGCAAATGAAGTGAAGATCATGAAGATGGTATCCCTTGTTGTATTCTGAGGATGTTATGTAAAAACTGAAGACTATGTTTTATTGATGTTATTCCTTTTCTGTGGATCTTGAACTACTCTGTCGAGGACGAGTAAGAAACTAAGTGTGGGGGAGTTTGATAGTGTGAGTTTCTTATTATGTATGCTTCTATTTTAACTAGTTTTTATTATTTGTAGTGGTGAGAATATAATTACACACTTTTGGTGTAATACTTTATTTTCATAGTTATTTGTAATTTGTTTAGATTAGAAATATTCTGAGCTTAAAACAGGACAAGATCATCCATGGGATCAAGATTAAACCTTAATTAAAAGATCAAGGAAAGTGTAAGGAGGCTAGAAAGATATGGATTTGGAAAAAATTCTCTGGTACCCGGTCAGGTATAGGCAATACCCGATCGGGTATTTGCTTGATTCGAGTGTCTAAATCAAATCCGGGAACAAATGATCATGGGAGCAATATTTTGTGAAGATTTTCTCATACCCGATCGGGTATGCTGACATACCGAGTCGGGTATGATGTCATTTTTTAAGCTTCCGGGCCACTGTAATAGATACCTGGTCGGGTATGCTATATACCTGGTGGGGTATCAGGTCTTACCTATGTAGCACCGATACCGGTACGCGGAAACGCGGAAACGGGTACGGGGATACGTCAAAACCAAAAAAAGTAGGATACGGATACGGGGCCATATTTATAAATATTAAAAGTTATGGGGGTGTATTTACAAATATTAAAAGTTATAGGGGTCTATTTATAAATATTAAAAATAGATTTTTTTGAAAATATATACTCCGTATATACATATAATATCCTATGATGTCTACCCATTCATTGCATTGAAGCATTTTCTTTTTTCAAGATACTTAGTAATAAATTCATAATATTTCTCATATACATTAGTGAATCTCGAAATATAAATGTAGTCAATAAGTCATTAATTTAAAATGAGAAATAAGTCAAACAACTACAATCTTGAAATTAAAAGTGCAAGTACCCAATTCGGAGTATGAGTTAATGACTTAATTCGGATATAGCCATATAGGCCCATTATTTGATTACCAAGTAAAATGTAATTTTAGATTTTCATTTTTTTTAGAATTTTATTAAGTAAATTTTAGGATTTTTTTTTAAAAGTTGATACGGGTATCCGTCAGGATACGAGTATCGGAAACTTTCAAAAAATTACAAAAAAAAAAATGGAAACTTTTAAAAATTGCAGATACGGCCCGGGAACGTACGGTACGGGTATCCTAGAGTATCGGATAAGGGAACGTATCGGATACGCCGATACGCTACCTTAGGGAAGTATCCGTGCTTCATAGGGTCTTACCACTCCCAAAAGTTCTCCATATATTCACCAATTCACATATAGTTTTAAGTTCAGTCTAGTTAAGTGTTTTCTTTATATTTTCTAGTATGTTTAGTTTCCAAATGTCGAGCTAAACCCTTCCATCTTGGTTTTACTACATTGAAGCTTATTGATTTGTACGTTGTGAGTTATTTTCAATCTTTAATCATCTTTCTTAAATATTAATTACATTCCTATTTTATATCTAATACTAATATTTGATCATTACTTAAAGGATCAACTAGTTTTGTTTCATATATTAATTATTACTAGAATCGATCGACGAATACGCTTGTTAATTGTTCGGTCCTTTCAACGGTAGTAAGCATGGGTTATTAATGCATGCGTCTCATAGTTAATAATCTAATAGGAATTAATTATATACTCCGGATATTGATTAGACCAATAAACCGCTTGTTATGAGGTTATCAATCTCAATCGATTTCATCTTAAGTTTTAATATTGCTACTATCAGGTCAATATACGGGGCATGTTCAATATTAACTTGATAGTAAGTTTTATTAATGAACGCATCTCGTTGTTAATAACTACCCTCGATGAAGTGGAGATACTCCACGATTGAGTATTCGAGAGTAAGATAGTTAAAGATAAAACCGGGATCGATGAACATATCATTAAGTGGAAATAAGCAAAACCAAGTCTCAATCTCTATTAATTTAGACAACATAAGTCGTTCATCTTCGTGTTTAAATATACTTAAGTTCAACAACAATCTAAAACCCCCCCTTTGTTACTAGTTCTATAAAAGAGAAATATTTCTTTCTCTGTGCGTGGATACGTCCTGAGTACAATATCCTACATATTAGTGCAAGTATTGAATTTATTTTGAGGCACATTGCGCACAGTTTAATTTGAAGAATTTAGAAAAACCTTTGATGATCGCAAATTATACCGTGAAATCGTAACATCGTGCGCACAGTGCACTAATCACACTACTACGTATTTCAATTTTAATTTCTATTCTAAATCACTGTGATGTATTGTACAATAGTACTGCACATCATTTACTAACTGGCTTATTCTACTTTATTAATATTTTCTTCAATTCCTTTGTCCCTCCTCATCAAAATACTAAAAATTTAATTGCAATTATAATTTTCTTTATCTTCAACTTAAATTTATAACTAAATGTATTTTTTTCTTTTGTGTCAATTCATAACAAAAAAATTATTAAATTTCAACTTAAATTATAACTAAAGTATATTGCATTTAATATTCATATACTATTTTTATTTCTGTAATATTGAATTTGTTTATTTCAATTTTTGGAATTACATTTAATAATGTATGGAGTTACATCTTCATGTGCGTGAGTTACACCTTCTTATGCACGATTTACATCTTCATATGCGCGAGTTAGATCTTCTTATGCGTGATTTACATTTTCATGTACGTGAGTTACATATTCTTACGCACGATTTACATCTTCATGAGCATGAGTTACATTTTGTTATGCGCGGTTTACATCTTCTTTTTCCCGAGTTATATCTTATTATGCGCGATTTACATCTTTTCTGCGCGATTTATTCTT